AATTTTTGTGCACAGTGTTATACATACATATTTGCAAACCGAACGCGTGCATTTTAAAGAATTTGGCTAAAAATGGGAAAGATTACGCTGGAGGTGAAATGCTCACCGGGGACAATAAAAAGTATAGAAACCAGTAAGTATAAACATTAAATTAATGTACTTAATGTTCACTTATAATTTTCGTATCATGTATTTAGATGCTGAATATCAACAGCAGGTACTCGCCCAACTCTTTCTGGAAGAACCCTTTGACGAAGTAAGGTTTTCACAAATTTTAATATGGGTTTTTAAAAATTTGATTTCTTATTAAGGGCTTTCAATCAGTTGGTTTTCTTGGACGCAGCGGCAGTCACGTTGCAGCAAAAGTAAGTGGATTACATATGTAGATACATAGCTTCATATTAACAAAAATTGCCTGTTTATATTCCATTCGGATAGAGTATTGAATCGTATGAATTGTTTGGAAGCGGTTGCGGTGGTGTTGGAGCAAAAGTAAGTGGGTTTTCTTTATATATGTATACATGTACAATGCAAAATTTCATATTAGTAACAGTTTTTTTTTTTATTTTTAACAGAGTGTTAAATCCTCTAGAGTACTTGCAAGCGGTGGCAGTGGTGATGGGCCAAACGTATCCACAAATCCTGTGAATTGTTTGGAAGCGGTTGCAGTGGAGATGGATCAAATGTAAGTGGGCTTTCTTTACGTATGTACTTAAGCACATAAATTCATATTACTAAAAATGTCTTGTGTTTATTACATTTCACAGAGTATTGAATCCTATGAATTGTTTGGAAGGGGTTGCGGTGGTGATGAAGCAAAAGTAAGTGGGCTTTCTTAACATACATATCTGTATTCGTATGGAATAGCAGCTTATGTCGAAATGCTGGCTTTAGTATAATGCAGCATTCACAGCATACGATTGCGAATGACTCACGGGCATCGAACCGTTGAAGAACTCTTGCCAAATAAACGTGAAAGATATAGTTCCTATTATTGGAAGTCAATATTCTTATTAAGTCTCATTAAAAGATTCCTTATGATTTAAAGAATAAAGGGAAAGTCAGCCTTTGGACATAAGCTACTATTCCATACGAACGCAGATATGTATATACTTAACTTCATATTAATAATAATTGTTTGTTCTTTTACATTTGACAGAGTGTTAAATCCTCTAGATTTCTTGGAAGCGGTGGCAGTGGAGTTGGAGCAAAAGTAAGTGTTTTTTCTTTATATATGTATATACTAGCTTATACCCGCGGGTTTCAAATTATAAAATCTCCTCTCTCCTCCCTCTAAGTTTACCTTAAAAGGTTTCCAGGTATACGACGCGTGAACGTGAAACCTTCTTGGAGGTGCCACGGCGAGTTCTAATATTTCCAACTCAAATTTAGTAACCTGGCCTTGATAAAATACCACTTCTTATTACTGTAGCAAATGCCTCAAGAGAGCTTTAAATTATAAGGTCGAACCCGGCTCTCCGTTTTCCATTTAATGAAATTTATTCTGTCTTCCACAAACACTTCCAGGGATATGTGGCAAGAAAAAGTAAATTTGTACTGGAAGTGCCACGCCCCTTTTTCTTATAACCCTAATCTTCCTCCATGAATTTAGAATTGATTTTACATACCCCAGTACCAAGTCCCAGTACTCTACCATGAACACCTCTAGAGATAAGCAGTATAAAACAGTAAATTTGTACGGCAGGAACCATGTCCCCTTTTCGAATAACACAAATTCTTCTCTATGAGTATGGAATTAATTTTGTATACACATCTCGGTGCCAAGTTCCAGTCCTCTGCAATAAACACCTCCAGAGATATGCAGCATGGAAAAATCAATTTGCATGGGAGTTGCCACACCACCTTTTCCAATAACTCTCATTTTTCTCCATGAGTATGGTATTAGTTTCACATACACACATGCATACAAATGTATTTCCATACCAAGCTTGAGTGCGTTACCCCAAACATTTGAAGAGATATGCAATATGAAACTTTCAGTCAGTATGGGAGGTGCTACGCCTCTTTTCCAAAAACCTCCATTTTTCTCCGTGAATATGAACATGATTTCACACAGTGTTGGCGAACTGTTAATCTGATTAACGATTAAAAATTAACGATTAAAATGTTAATCGCGTTTGACGATTAAAATTAATTAGTCGTAATCAACTGTACGATTAATGATAACATTTTTTTAATCGTTAATCGCTGGCTGCGATTACGTTTAATTAATTTAAAACATTAATCGTTATTCCAATTAAAAATAAAATCTGATTAATTTGTCTAGTTTGTCCGAGCTTGAAACCAAACACCAGTTATAGTAATCATTTTGTGTTTTACGCTTATAAAAAGCACGTAATATAAAAAAATAATTATTATTGTTATTAGTAATACATAAACTGGGAACTTTTACAAACCTAGTTTGTAAAACGTTTGTTGGTATATCTACATATATCTTAATGAAAATGCACACCAAATTGCTTAGATTGATGAGGAAACCCGACTTAGCCATACCATACTGGATTAACTTGCTTTGTGTGCACAGGAAAATTCCAGCATAACTTAATTAATCACCAAACCTACTTGATCAAATTAAGAGTTAATGATTAAAAATTAATTTTTTAATCGCGGTTACGGTTAACTGTTTAGTCGGATTAAAATTAATCATGATTAACTGTAATCAGATTGAATTTAATCGAATTAACTAACTAATTAAAACATCAATCGATTAATGCCAACATTGATTTCACATACATATCACTATACCAAGTTTCAGTTCTCTCCCACAAATACTTCCAGAGATATGATGTAATATGAAAATTCCAATTTGTATGGGAGGGGCCTTGAGTTATCGGACTTACTTTCAGTCTAAGACCATCCTTCCGAAATCCGTAGTAAGTGTACTAAATTTCGTTCTGATCGGAAAACCGGTTAAGGAAGCCGTCTATTTTTCAATCCAGGTCATAAACCATCTTTGAGCAAAATTTAATTTTCAAACAGGTGGCAATTCTTCAAAAAAAAACCTATTTTCCAGTCTAGGTCATAAGCTATCTGCATGCAAATCAGTTCAGTCATTTCCACGTATTAATTTAATTAAAGTTTCCTAATACGTGATAACTCTTAAAATATTAGCCTATTTTCCAACATAGGTCATAAGCTATCTCTGTGCGAGATGTCATGCAAATCTGTTCAGTCGTTTCCGCGTATTAATTAAATTAAAACTTTTTTAACAGGTGGCAACTCTTCCAAAAATTTGCCTATTTTCCACTGTAGGTCATAAACTATCTGCTTGCAAAATTTGATGCAAATCCGTTCAGTCTTTTCCGCGTATTAATTTAATTAAAATTTTTTTGCAGGTGGTAACTCTTAAAAAGTAGCCTATTTTCAACCTAGCTCATAAGCTATCTGTGTGAGAACTTCCATGCAAATCAGTTCACTCATTTCCGCGTATTAATTTAATTAAACATTTCTAACAGGTGGCAACTCTTAAAAAAAGGTAGCCTACTTTCTAACCTAGGTCATAAGCTGTCTATGTGCAAAATTTCATGCAAATCCGTTTAGTCGTTTCCGCGTATTAATTTAATTAAACTTTTTTAATAGGTGGCAACCCTTAAGAAAAGTAGCCTATTTTCCAATCTGGGTCATAAGCTATCTGTGTGCAAATTTTCATACAAATCCATTCAGTCGTTCCCGCATATTAAATAAATGAAACTTTTTTAACAGGTGGCAACTCTTAAAAAAATAGCCTATTAACCAATCTGGCCCATAAGCTATCTGCGTACAAAATTTCATGCAAATCCGTGCTGTCGTTTCCGCGTGATGATTTCCCAAACGTCCAAACATACAAACTTTCACATTGATAATATTTATTATATATTATATATATTATTATTATATTATTATATTATTAGCTGTGCACACATTATTTCATATTAGTAACAATGGTTTTATTTTTACATTTTACAGAGTGTTAAATCCTCTAGATGTCTTGGAAGCGGGGCAGTGGTGTTGGAGCAAAAGTAAGTGGATTTTCTTTATACATATATTTACATATCGCACACCGTCTTCAAAAGAGTCACAACTCAAAATAATACGTTCATCAGAAAATGCGAAAAACTATTTCGTAGCACATGCTAATCATATATGCAAGGGCGAGTTTAACTTCGGTTTTTTTTTAACAAATTATAACAAAAATATGCTCCAGTTTTTGCTGAGAGGCAAATAAAAGCTCTGTGTACATTTTTAGCGCATAATTTCAAAAATGCCGAATTTTGAGTTGTGACTTTTGAAGACGTCGCACACCGTCTATACCTACACCTACATACATAGCTTCACATTACTAAAAATTTTCTGTTTTTATTACATTTGCCAGGGTATTCAATCCTATGAAGTGTTTGGAAGCGGTTGCAGTGGTGATGGATCAAACCCCTGCAGGGAAACCGCGGACTGGTGCATAAAATTTCTAGTTCCGTACAAGAACTTTATCGCCAAAAACGAACCAGTCCGATAGTAAGTTGATCCCCACCAGTTCAAAATCAGCGAAATGTGGGACTCATAAAAAAAAATATTTTATTTCTCGTTTTTCATTAGAAATCTATATCTAAAGTGACGAATTTAGAACTGGTTCGGAATTATAGAAAAAGGGACGCAGAACGAACTAGATCTTATCTGTCGAATTTAGAACTAGTTCGAAACTATCGAAAAAGGGATGCAGCGGGGGGCTTGTTTACTTTACATAGATATGTGTTTGGTGGCTTTTTCGTTCAAATGCACTTTCATTCTGCACTTCGCAGATGCTATTTCATAGTTTGGTAATAGAAAACAAAACTTTGTGTTAACATATTAACATCTTGGGGCCGTCTGGAATCTAACCAATAACAGCGAGCACCTCTGCAAAGTCAGCTACAGCCAAAGGTATGTAAACGTACATTTCTTACAATCATTCAAACAAATATAATTTCAAATCGAAAAAACGTTTCTTTGAAAATAGAAGAACCGAAAGATTTAAAAATCATGATACTTTTTCTTTCGTCTGGCGATTTTAAAACTGGTTCGGAACTATAGAATTTAGAACTAGTTCGGAACTATCGAAAAAGGGATGCAGCGGGGGGCAATTGACACTTCCTAGGACATCGCCATGTTAAATTCGCCAGTTGTTTGTATGCAAAAGAGATTTATCGCGAACCAGTGCTGGGTCTAAACGTACTACAGGCGCACCAGTTCAGAACTAGAGATTTTCCCCACAGGGACGTAAGTGGGCTTTCTTTACATACATAACTTCATACTAATAACAATTTTTTGTTTCTTTTTTTTGTTTGACAGAGTGTTAGATGTGATGAATATTTTATAGGCGGTGGCAGTACTGTTGAAGTACAAGAAGTAAGTGGTTATTAGATAATCTTATTGAGCCTACGCCCACTAGACTGCTCAGTCGGCCGGAGCAATCCGTCACTCGCACGCACACTTGAGTGGACAGTCAGCCGCAAAAAGGTTTCAGTTTTGTATACATGATCTAGTGCAACTGGCATATATATTTGACGCCACCTTTCCTCTGTAATAATTGGCTGTTCATTAACAAACAGTAGCTTCTAATTTCAAATGGAGCTTGCAAATTTTTACATGGAAAAGCTTTCAATATCACAATAAATTGTAACTCTTTACAGTTATTTGTGATTAAATCGGCTACTAACAACTATTGTTAAAGTGGTTTTATATTTTATTGGCAGGGATTAAACCATTTAACAAAAGCAAATAAAAATGAATGGTTAAATGCACCAGTCAAGCTCCTCATATCACTAGTTAAGGAACTTCGGCCCCAAGTAGCCAAATACAAAACTAAAAAATAAGAAAAAAATGTGGATTTCCATTTCGGAGAAGTTGTGTTCCCAAGGATATATGTTTACCGCCCAGCAGGTAGAATCAAAGTACTACACACTGGAAAGAGCTTATAAAAATAATAGGCTCTATAATTCCAAAACTGGACGAAATAGAGAGACAATTCCTTTTCAAGAGTAAGTTATTTTTAGTAAATTCTTTTTTAATTTCTAATACGAGTTTTACCATCATATAATAGGGAATTAGACGATTTACTTTCAGAAAGAAAGGGAATCAACCCAGAATTTCGATTGTGTGAAGAAGAATCTGCTGGCGTTAATGGTATTCAATCAGAAGATTTGAATAGCACATCAACCACCACAACCGACGAAAGTTTACTTGGTAACTACATAAACCAGTGGCGAAGTAAATATGGGTTCTTATGGATAAAAATTAAGCAATTGCTTTATCTTAAAATTTTTAACCTTTTACTTAAACTTATTTAAAGAAATCTAGTAAAAGGTAAGAAATTTTAAGATAAAGCAATTGCTAAGTTTTTATTCATAAGGCCCATGAACACACATTTTTAATCACAAATTTTAGAAAAATGTCAGTGTGCAACTTTTGTAGCCCCATTTTAGCATAGCAAGTTTGAACTAGCTGAAATTATTGCAAAATTTTCGAGAACTTTTAATGTTATTTTTATTTTGGAGCTCTCTTAGCTAATCGAAAACAATTTCTTGATTATTTGCAGAAAAACCCAGAGGTCGAAAGCGAAACTTCCAAAAGGAAATAATAGAAAAAATTGAGGATATTGTCGAGTCCTCTAAAGCTTTTCAGAGCAAAACACTGGGATTCTTCAACAACGAGAAGAGAGAGCAAAGCAACGGCAACAAAATCAAGAAGAGAGATTTATTAGGGAAGAAGCACGAAAAAAGCGTAAAATGGAAATTTTGGAAACTGTAATTGCCAAACACAATTAATTTCATTTCGCGAACGATTTTACCTTTAAGTACTTGTACCATGGTAAGGGTTGGCAATGTTTAAAACTCTTGTTTTTTAAAAGTGCTTAAAACCTTGTTTAAAAATTGTCTATATCCAAACACGTTTTAATACGATAAGTGGCATTATGTTGCAAATAAAACATTTGAAAAGTACAAAAACTATTCATTATATGATTGATGTTTTTATATATGTTTAAAACATTCATATAATGAATAGTTATTGTACTTATTCGTATTAAAACGTGTTTAGATATAGGCGATTTTTTCCCATTGTAAAAATTAGAAGACTGATAACACCGTGCGATAATAAATTGTACACACGAACAAATGGATAGACTAGTGAAATTAGGGATTTTTTTGAAAAGGACTGTAATATCCTAAAATAAGGATTTCAAATTTTTTTAAAGGATTGTTATCCCAGGATATTTAATTTAATAATCCCAACGGCTTTTTACCCTCCATTCCCGCCCAACTTTTTTTTTTTTAAGTTTTTTCGTGCCGAGTAGTGGAAACAGGAGTTTGTTAAGTGTCGAGATCTAAAACTATTCAGCTACAGAATCAAATTCATCAGCTGATTGGATATGCTAAAGATAGTATTTCAATTATTGAGAGTGGAAATAATAGTTTTCTTTATAGTAAAAATCGAGTCCGATACGTCAAACGTGCTGGAATGACAGTTAAAATCTTGACATAAACCACGGAATGATTCGTTTAGTTCAAAATTAGTTTTGCATGGCTTTAAAAATAGAGGTCGAAAGTGTCTTGACATTCGAGAAGGAACATTAAAATTTACCTCAGCCAGGAGGGCCGGGCTATTAATCAAGCCTGTCATTAATTTTACGATAAATATTATACCCAGCATTTCTCTACGACTTGCGAGTGTAGGCAAATTTATGAGCTTTAGACGACTTGTGTAAGGGGGGAGATTGTAATCTGAATCCCAGTTAAAATTACGCAATGCAAAAAGCAAGAATTGTTTTTGAATTGATTCAATCCTTTCTGAATGAACTTGGTAGCGGGGATTCCAAACAATAGATCCGTATTCTAGTATAGGTCTAACTAAACTGGTAAAAAGAGCTTTTGTAACATAAGGATCTTTGAACTCTTTTGACCATCGCCTTACAAATGCAAAAACGCCTTTGGCTTTATTGACTGTAACATTAATATGATGGTTGAAATTGAGTTTGGAATCCATTGTGATACCAAGATCGACAAAATTGGATACCTGCTCCAGATTATAATTTGATATTGAATAAACAGCTGGTTGAACAGCCCTCCGAGAGAAACACATAACTTTACATTTTTGAAGGTTTAGTGGCATATAGTTTGTATTACACCAACTAACCACGTTGTTCAGATCCGCTTGTAACAAAGACCTTTCTTCGATAGAGAACAATGTTTTAAAAAAGTTTCACATCATCGGCATACATTAAAATTTTTGAATGTTTTATTATAGAAGAAATATCATTAATGAATATCAGGAACAGAATCGGACCAAGGTGGCTTCCCTGAGGAACTCCTGAAGAAACTTTAATGATGTTGGAAGAACAATTATTAACAATAACTCTTTGTGTTCTATCAGAGAGGTAAGATGAGATCCATTGAAGGAGACTGGGCTGAAAGCCGATTAGGTCGAGTTTACGGATGAGTAACGAGTGACATACTTTGTCAAAACCTTTACTGAAATCGGTGTAAATTACGTCGGTATGAGCATTTTCTCTAAAACCGTTTGAGACATGAGTTGTAAACTCCAATAAATTAGTCATAGTAGATTTTCCTTTAGAAAACCCGTGTTGAGATTGTGTAATTGAAGAAGATATAGAATATGTCAGCTGGTTAACAATAATTGCTTCGAATAATTTGGGGATAGCGGAGAGTTTCGCTATGCCTCGATAGTTTTCTATAGACGACCTGCTGCCGTTTTTGTGAAGTGGTATTATGAAAGACTCCTTCCAGGCTGACGGAAAAACGCCATGTTTAAGTGACAAATTGAATAGAGTTGTTAAAGGCTCGCAGATGTTCTCAGCGCAGTTTTTAAGAAAACAGGTCGGAATATGATCAGGTCCAGGCCTAAATGACGCTTTTAAGGTTTTTAAAGAGTGTAAAACTTCATCGGAAGATATTACTGGAATATAAGCAGAGTTGATTGGACAAAGCTCGTACGGATAGTCTCCACTTATAGGGAAGTCTACAGAATAATTGGACCTAAAGAACCGAGCAAACATGTTGGCAATGAGTTGGCTGTCGCTAGATACAGTGTTGCGATAATGCATAGCGGACGGAAAACCATGTGCCTTACGCTTTGAATTTACGAAACTATAAAATGATTTAGGATTGTTAATTAAATTCTTCTTAATTTTACATAAATATGAATTATAACATTTCTTATTTAATGCAAAGTAGCTATGCCGCAAAACTGAGTACCTTAGGTAATCACTGTGTAAGCCCGTTCTTTTATACAGTTTAAAAGAGTGCGACTTTTTATTTTTCAATTTTTTAAGCTCTTTAGTGAACCATAATTGTATTGGTTCTTCATGAACAATATTACGTATTGGCACATACTTTCGAAACAAATTGAAAACAGTATCATTAAAGTGCTCAACGCTACGCTCCACGTCATCTCTATATATTGGCCAAGATAACTTTGAAAGTTCTTTGTTAATTTTCCTGAAATTTGCTTTCGCAAAAACATATCTAGTACTTGAACTTGACTTATTATTATGTATTTCATTTATGATTTCGTAGCTTAACTCAAGAGCAGGATGGTATGCATCTTCCGGCAAAACTAGGGGATCACACCGATTAATAGAGGCTATTAAAAAATTCTGAAGTAGGGCGTTCTTGAAAAGTTTTCTGAGATAGGGCGTTTTCGAACTGGCTGCCGAAATAGGTCGATCTTCCACTTAGCCATCGATACGTACTTGAAGTTATAGGCATTCACCAAAAGTAATAAACTGCCGACCAACGATACAGATTAACCATTTTATCACGTTTATCAGCAGTTTATCACATAAATTGAATACCCTATTAATACAAATTTTTCCTTTAAACGAAGTAAAAATTACAATGTGAATTCATATGGATATATCGAGGCTTATATTCCAACCTGCTATAAGCGATTTTCACAAAAGGTCTGCATATAAGCCCTCTATTTGCAACTTTTCCCACTAGTCACAAAAGTTTACATTTTTTAACATATTTAAAAAGATGTTTAACTGAAGTTTCTTTTTTTCCTAACATTTACAAAGAAAGCGACAAAGAGAAAATTTGTATGCAATGGCAACTTTTAAAATTCTCTTCTCCGCTACAATTTTTCACAAGCCCATGGTCACTCTGAACCACATAAACAGAAGTTTCAAAACTTGCACAAAGTTCGCAACAATTAATTAAATTTAAAAAAAATTTTATCAAAATTTTAAACTTTTTATTCAGAATTCTCAGAAAATTTTCGGGTATGTAGATTTCTAGCGTATTCAATTTCAGTATAATAAAGTTAAGTTTCAAATGTATGTATAAATATACTTTTTTTTATAAATGAGTTGATAGCTTTACATACTTGTAAGGGAATTTGTAACATAAACACTTTGTATTATAAATATTATCTGTATCGTAATACTATAACAAATAAATAATTAAAATTGACTCATTAGGTCTTCTAATCGATCTGAATTCCAATGGTTGGTTCGAGTATCAAGAGTGAAAGGTTTTTGTGTCCCAGACATCATACAATTCCAACTTCGATTCTATCTGGTTTACAATGGCTGCATTTCTTTATTCATTCTGAATGTTTGGAATAAACTTTTTTGTTTATTTATTCTTTAGAACGTTCCTGATGATATGTTGACGTATATTTCAAACGCATTCTGTTTATTCCGGCTGTGAAATGGGATTATCCGGAATGTATAAAGAAACGCAGCCAATGTGTACATTGCGCTTATTATAAGAAGCATAATTTATGAGTCGATTACGGATGGCAACCGAACTTCAGTTTGGTGGCTAGTGGCTGAATTGGTATTACAGACGGAAATTGGCTACTGAAAGCTGGCAACTGAGTTGCTATACTGGCAACTGCATTATTGCGGTTGCCGCGGAACTTTTGATTGATATAATTTATTTCTTTTTCAACTGTTTCTTCAGCTCAATTACACTCAAGTCTCAGTTGCTGGTTCTTCAAACTTAACTATAGTTGCTGTTGATAATAAACGTTTTCATTTAAGTGGCGTTACCCAACTGAGGTTGCGTTGCCATCTATAATCGACCCATTAATTAATATGCCAAATGCCTTATTTTATCTCTATTCAGTGGTTTGATTGTATAATCTTCTAAATGAATTATTTAAATGCATGCAAAACAAGTAAGAAAGTCTAAGTTCGGGCGGAGCCGAACATTAAATACCCGGCGCAAGTATTAAATATATGTTTTCCACCTTTCCGAAAGCTACCGCTACATGATAAGGGGGTGTATAAATATTAAGTAAACTAGCATCCTTAAATTTCGAAATATTGAAATTTCAAGCATTTCTGAAATTTACCGTTATATGAAAAGCGGCCGTAATTTTAGTCCGATTTCAATAATTTTCAACGGTTCGCTTTTATGTGGCAAGCACAATAATCATACCGAGTTTGGTACAAATTGCTAAAACGGTTAACGATATACATATATGTGATCATAAGTGGGCGGTGCCACGCCCATTTTCCAAAATTTTATCATAAGCGTATTTCCTGATAAAGAATTGTTGCAACCATCAATTTTGAATAAATTAGCTTTAATATTTACTGATTTATCGAGGATTTCGTATTTCTCGAAATTACCGTTATATGGGATGTGGGCGTGGTTATTGACCGATTTTAAAAATTTTCGGCCATTTGGTATGCTGTACCAGGGTCAACAAGTGTGCCAAGTTTGGAAGAAATTGGTGCAGCGGTTACCAAAATATACACATGTAACTATAAGTGGGCGTGGCTACGCCCATTTTTCAAAAAATTTTAATATTCTTATATCTCGTCTAAAAGTTATTCTAAATGTCAATTTTGAGTGAATTATCTTCAGTAGTTACTAAAATATCGCAGTTTTCGTATTTCGGAAAATTACCGTTATATGGGAGGTAGGCGTGGTTATTGTCCGATTTCACCCATTTTCAATACCATC